GCCCATAACCACTTGTGTACACCATTAAAGCGTCCCTTGGGTGTGGGATTTTTGGAACTTTATAAAAATCAAGCTAACGATTGGGCCAATCAGCTCAGGATGACTCAATCCAAAGTATATTTCTCTTCAACCACATGTACAGTTTGCAGTTACTCATCTTTTAAAAAATTCCAATTCTTCTTAGAGCCCTCCCTCCTCCTTTCCCTTATATTCCATTCAAGCTGGCTCCCAACACACACAAAAGGAAAAAGTAAAATTGAGTTAAATTCATGGTATTTAGTAAAGCAAAATTAGTTACAGCTAAACATACAATAAATTATTTTTGATCTTTTTTATCAAATATGAGAACTATACAGTCTGCAAGTTAAGAATATTGAAGTACCCTGCCCACTACCTTTGAAATGAATCTAAAGTCGTTGACGATTAATGTCAAGTTCCCCTGTGCTTCCTAACTTGAAAGGAATGATCTTATACCCAGTGACTGGACTCCACTCAAATACTTAATTTCATTTATTTATTTAAAGGACAGTGCACATTAATCAACATTTCTGTAAATGTGCCAGTGTTAGCCAGCAGGCTAATTTTCAACTGTAGTCCTTTGGCAAGATGTTAAGCTAGGCACAGGGTGGCTAAAAAATAAAAACATGTTCAAAAATACACACAGCAACAGATAACAACAGTATAACATGATGCCAATATACTGGCTCCATTAAAACATATAACCATACAACCATTCATACAAACCACCATGGGTTAGACAGCACAGCTACAACAATACATAGCAACAGACAAACATGCACTCAGATTAAATACTATAAAAGGTGTTCACATTTTTGATTGCTTAAAAGCCAGTCCTTAAGACGGTGGGTGAATGTATGGTGGGAGGTGCAATTTCTAATCTCCACTGGCAACTGGTTCCATAATTTAGAGGCTCTCACAGAGAAACATAATAGACCAAAGGAGCTGGACCTACACAGTCCCCTCTTAGGGCAGACCTTGTGGTTCTGCTGTTGGATTTTCTCTGCTGTATGTGCTGTGTGGTTGGGGAGCCTTGCCATTGATAATCTTAAAAATTAGGCATGCGTCAGTGTGTTTTAAAATATTTTCCCAGCTGAGCAAGTTATATTTGTCAAGGATGTAACAGTGGTGGTAAAGCTTGGGTTTTCAGTCCAAAACTTTAAGCGCTTGTTTGTGAAGTGATAAGATAGGCCTTAATGTTGTGCTATTCACCTGGATCCAGCTTGTCATACAATATGTTAAGTGGGGAATGATCATAGCATTCATGTAGAGCTTTGCTACAGGTGTTGTCAAACAGTGCCTTATATCTCTCAAGTTGGCTAGATTGTATTTGGTTATTTGCATTACCTTGCTCACCTAGTTTTTGAAGGATAGAGTAGTGTCAAGGATAATACCTAGATATTTAAAATGTGTAACTGTTTGAATGACCTCCCCAGACACATAGACCTTGGGTTCACAGTGAGATACAGTGTTAGTCTTGCTTAAAAACATACAGACTGTCTTTTTTACATTGAGATACAACTGTGAGTGAGCAAGCCATTTATGTACATGTACCATTTTGTCTCTGAGTTTGGCAGCAGCTTGGGCTTTGGTTTTTGCATGAACATAAATTACTGTATCATCAGCATACATCTGAACCTCACATCCAGTGCAGACTGATGGCAGGTCATTTATATAAAGGCTGAACAGAATAGGGCCCAGGATAGATCCCTTGGGTACATCCAGTTCATTCCTCAGGGGTGGTGACGTCTCACCACTAACCCTTACGCACTGAACTCTACTTGACAGATATGATCTCATCCAGTCAATTACATTGGTTGAGAAAATAAAATAAGACATTTTGTGAATGAGTATTTGATGATTGACAGTGTCGAAAGCTTTTTTAAGATCTAAGAAAATTGCTCCAACTATGCCTCCTTTGTCCATTTTTGATTTGATGTTTTCCACAAAAAAACAATTTGCTGTCTCAGTGGAGTGATTGGCTCTAAAGCCTAATTGCATGGGGTGTAGTGTAAAAGGACTACTGTTAAGATGCTCAGTCAATTGCTCAGCCACACATTTTTCAGAGATCTTAGACATGACGGGTAAAATACTAATCGGTCTATAGTTCCTTTTATTTCCTTTTATTTTGAGATCTCCTTTAGGTTTTCAGTGTAGCTTTCAGCTTAGGTTAGTGGTTTAGGTGAAAAATCTTTGAAAGAAGAAACACAACAAAGCAAATTCATGTTAACATTTGCGTAAATCAAACAATACAGTTTCAACATTCAAGACGAAAATACACGCTAAATTAATGTTATTTTTTTCATTAATTAAATTAAAGTTCACCTGCTGCCTTCAAACAACCTTTTAACTTAGCAATTAACATTATTTATTGCACTGATTTCTAACTTATTTATTAACTGAATCTTAACTCTGTACTACCTGTTTATTTACCAATTTTAGCATTATTTAATCAACACACGTTATTAAATTAATCTAAATGTTTATGCTGTAAATTGAATCTTCCTTTTGGTTTTGTAAAAATTCCTGACTAAAGTAATTGCAAGGCATCCTTAAATGGACATGCATTGATGTATACGCCAAGTGTCAACCTTAATCTGACACATGATTAATTATCGCAAAAAATCATCAGGCTTCATTCTCCTGAATGTCTTTACAAAAGGTACAAAATTCAACCAATCTTTCCATATCTAGAGCTGTGATGTTCAAGTAAGTGAAATCAATTCTTTAGAAACATTTGAGGAGTTGAGTAGACAGTTCATATGCATGCTACAGTCCATTATTATGTATCATGATTGTGTTTTTACAGAATCCATTTCATTAATGCTTGATAGAGAATCAGACTACAGCTGTACCAAATCTATTAGAAGGACCTTCATTTTAAAGATAGTCACTACAGAAGTCTGACTCATCTCACAAAATATCACAGAGCCAAATGTATGGTATATATGAAGGATTACTTTTTTCACCTCCAAAAAGGAAAGACAATTCATAGGAAATGCTCTTGCAGTGGAAACACAGCAGATTGAAAAGCTATGAATAAAATCTATGACTGGAGGTTGTTAAATGATCTGTGTGGAGCATGTTTTATTAAGTACATGGCCAGAGCCTCGGAAATTTGCTCCATTTAAATATCCTTTGGAATTTCCCTTGCACTGGAAAGTCCCACTTATGCTTCAGAGAGCTGTGTGTGTGTGTGTGTGTCTGTTTTGATATTTGCTGGATTCCTGTAACCTCGGCCTACTCAATCAGTCATGTTTGGGACAGCCTTAGTCCTTTAGCTGCAAGCTGAACGGGAGATTCAGACACAACCAAAAAGATGCTGGATCGATAAAATACTTCATGAAAAGACAAGAAGTCAGAAGGTAGCTTATTTATTATTTATTAGAGGGTTATGAGTGTGTATCAAAGAGAGAGACCAACTTAAGAAAGCTGCGATCATGTCTGATAGCTTAGTTAAATGGGTAGTTTACTATTCTTGGATAAAAAGTTTATGGAGAACCCTTAGTGAAGGTATGGGCAAAAATGAAGCTAACTGCTCTTCCTCGTTCGTTTAATCTGGTGTTGGATTTAAAAGTATAAATGTATGAATTATAAAGACAGTTTATAAATCATCAGCTGCCCAGGTTCATATTAAAGGAACTCTCTGAGATATTTAGTCTAGACAACACCGCCAGCTATTACTCTCATTATTTGCTTTGGCATTTGAACCTTTAGCTCAGAAGATGAGGTGGACAAAAGAAATCAGAGGATTAGGTAGTTAAAGAGGAATATAAACTGAGTTTATTTAACTATTACTAATCACTCCCAAAGGTAATGGGAATCATTGATGACTTCTATGAAATGTCAGATGATAAGATAAACATTGATGCAAGTTAAAAAAGACCATTGTAGTATAGCAAAAGATTTTGACAATTTTCAGTGGAAAGTAAAGATTAAAATACTTAGGTTGCATTGTAAGTTCCTACAAAAATATCAAAGAGCACACACATCTGAAAACTTAAGTACTGGGTGCTGAACAAAAAAACATCCAAAGGTAAAAAAAAAATTGTTCTCACGCCAGAAGCTGCTCCAATTTAATCGAATTTTATGGAAAAAGTGCCATCTTGCATTATAAGTACAGACAAAATAACACTATATAAGGACAACTTCTTGTCCTCGTTTAATGAACTAAGAAGTAGCATTGATAAGTGAAGGAAGGATACATTATTTAAATTACATGGTTACCTTAATGTTTTTATTTAAGGTACCTGTAATTCCTCCAAAACAACTTTTTAAATGAACTAATGCTTTAATTTCCTCCTTCATCTGATCAAATCAGGCCCACCGTCTGAGCAGAGCTCTTCTTTATAACAACAGAACAGAAGGAGGATTAAAGTTTACAACTTTGTCATAAATAGTACATTAAAATCATGGAATAAAATGTAATACATAGCAGTGCATGTAGGATACCAAAGGCCACAGATCTGGACTAATCCATCAATAAAAAATCCAAAACAGGGAACTCAACTGGGGCAGTTTGAGTAAAAGTGGAATTAATTATCTTTCAGACATAAGAATAATAGTGTTCAGTCATTTACAGAACTCTAAAACAAATTCAGGTGGGACAATAAAGAATGAAGAATTTAAGTGTTTACAGGTTAGAAACTGGATACAGTGGCTAAAGGAACAAAATGCCATAAAATCAATGCAATTTAAAAAAGGATGCATTTCTTTCAGACCATAATCGCATTGCGGTTAATGTTTGCACTGACAGCCCTATTTCAAACCACCAAACTGAGTTGTTCTATGGTTAATAATACTTAAGAAACTAAGGGGTAACTGAAGTTATTTTAAAATTCTGAACGAAAAATTTGTTTTTCGTAAGCTGAAAGAAAGTTAATGTAAAAAGCTTTGTTACTTGCTAGACAGGTTAAAAATGTGATAGTTAGGTTAATGTCAGAAGAATCATAACTGTTTTTCCTCTTATGTTTCCATATCAGGTATTGGAGGTCTGGAGGAGTACATCCTAAAGTCTGCCACCCTGTCATCTTCCCCCGCCTGTCCACCCTTCACTCCGCTCAACTTTGAGGCCACACCCATTGTTCGAGTTGCCATTGAACCCAAACATCCTAGTAGGTCTTGGAAGTCAACCTCACAACTCTAGTTCATTAACTGGACATGTTTTTAAAACCTTTATTTTCACTTAGAGCTATGAATGCATTAGCCAGAGAGCGCGCCTGCACTCTATCACGTGCGCTGTCTCTCCCGCTCTCACGCAGTAACTGTTCTGAAATATACCTCGGCGGCCATACATTTACCTGGGCGGCCCTCCCAGGTGTTGTATATGTGTGGGAAACACTGATGTCATCTGTTTACCTCTATGGCTAACTGAGCTTGCTAGCAGCCAGGGTTACTTTAACAAGGTTATTGGTTAGAAAACATTTCTTCGTTTACTTTGATCCTGTGTTATTCAGAGCAGAGACTGGAGCTGTATTGGCTTTGTACAAGTTGTTGAGGTGTTGTTTTTGAACTCAAGTCAATAAGGCTTAAAATTTACAAATATTCTTTTCTTGCAGCCGCTATTCTTTTGTGGTCTCATGACCAGTAAATCAACGAGAAGGCTTAAATAATTCAGGCTTCTCCACCTTCTTCTTCTTACTGCCATAGATAGATGGATAGATAGACAGACGGACAGATGGATGTACTTCATTGATCCCATACAGGGAAATTATGTGTTACAGCAGCACGCTATTAAGGCAAATAAAGCAATAGATCTTATTTATTTGTGTGTCAGGTGAGATGCCACAGCTGGTGCGTGGGATGCGCTTGTTAAACCAGGCAGATCCTTGTGCTGAGGTTCTGATCCAGGAAACGGGAGAACATGTCCTGGTCACTGCTGGTGAAGTTCATCTCCAGCGCTGCCTTGATGACCTTCGGGATCGGTCAGTGTGTATATTTAATTTCTTCTTATTAACCTGTGAATCTCTGTCGACTTCTTCTTATGCTGTAATGGTAAAACTTTGGACCTTCACTTGATACCCTACAATATGATAATAATATTAATAGAAATTATAATAATATATTACATTTATTTAGCGCATTTCAAGGGAACCAAGGACGCTTATAAAGGACTTGCAACCCGGCTCGTACTTTAACACCAATAACTGGTGACTTCACTTGAGCTGTTGGAGTTATGGAAGACCACACATGCGGGCACCAATAATGTTGATAATGTGGTAAATTTGGTTATTAAAATTAATATTCATAATTTGGATGAATTAATTATTTATATAAATTAACACAATTGTTCTTTATTTATTTATTTTTTAACAATATGTTTATTGAGTTCTAAAAAAATTTTCAAGACACACAATTACAATTAAATAAATGCTAAGGAAAATATATATATGTACACAAAAACTAGTAAAACAATTTAGCAGTATTATTACTATCCATATTTAAATAGAAATAACCAAAGAGAGTGCATTGCCATAGATGATTTAGTTAATCACAAATATTCTGGCCAAAACAGTTTCTACAAAAACGACCACAATTACAGACATTGCCAACTCTTTACCAGCCTAACTCAAAATATGACAGGTTTTTATCACGAAGAAAATTAATATATAGGCCCCAGATATTGTTAAATAATTCTCGTTTTTCTTTAATTGTATATGTTATTCTTTCCAGAGCCAAGCACAGAGACATTTTATGAAACCAACGTGTAACACTCGGTCTACCACTGTTCTTCCATGGTAATGCTATTGTTCTTTTAGCCTGCAATATGCAGAGGTCTACAATATTACGTCCTTTTTGATAGATTCCAAGAAGAAAAAACTTGTGTTCTACAACTAATTGAAATGATAAAAACTCCTGCATTACACGTCCGACTTCATCCCAAAATTCTTAAATTTTTGGACATTTCCATACGCAATTGTAAAATGTACCTTTGTCCTCCCCACACCTGTTACAGGTGTCTGTAATGCTCCCTGTCTGGGATGTTGGGGTTCAATTTGTTATATAGACTCTCATTAACCATTTGTATTGAAGCAGTTTTAAACGAGTGTTAGCTGTTTGAGTCTGTGCTTTATCGCATGCCTTATCCCATTCTTCAGTTGAGATTTCCTCTTGTAGATCGTCTTTCCATGCTTTCAGTTTATTTTCTGAGGATTCTGCTGACTCAGATATCAGCACGTCATATACTTCTGAGATTATACATTTTTGAAAAGGGTTTTTAATTAAAGCTTTTTCCAGAAGCGATACTGCGTGTTTACGTGGGATATTATTTTTCGCTACCAGTTCCTCAAATGTCTTAATGCTCTCATTACCTGGATTAAAGATGTCTTTCATTTGACTCACGCCCCTATCAGCCCACAGTTTGAAACCACCATCAGCCCTGCCTGGTACAAAATAATTATTTCCCCAAATTGGGCTATACCGAGAGAAGGTAGGCCCACCCTTTCCAATATTTTTGTACCTAGTTCCACACAGAGATCAATTAACTTGTACAACGTCTTCTAACTTGAGTTATTTCTATACCTAAGTAGGTGAAGCTGTTAACCACTTTGAAGATATGTATGTAAGGGGGTGGGTTATCTTTTTGCTTTGAATTTAGCAATAAGATGGATGATTTACTTTTATAAATTTTCACTTGGCTTTCCAGGTTTAAGAAGGAGTGTTAAAAGAGCCCCTCTCAAGGATGGAGGAAGGATCCCTTCCCGAAAGGATTCAGTATACATTTCCAGAAGGGGTGTATTTAATTTAGATTCAAATTTCTTATAGAAATCGGTGGGTAGACCATCTGGTCCTGGGGCTTTCCCAGAGCTCATGCATTTTATTGCAACAGAGATATCTTCTAACATTATGTTTTCCCCCAATGTCACCCTTTCTTCCTCATAAATAATAGGAATATTGAGATTATTTAAACACATTTTTTGACTCAGTAATTCTGGATCACCTTGGAGCTGTATAGTTTTTCATAATAATATTTGAATGCACTGTTAATTTCAATAGGATCTATTATAATATATTCATTTAGATTTTTTAAAATAATAATAGCTCTTTCAGTTTGAAGTTGTTTTATGCGCCATGCCAGAATTTTTCCAGATTTTTCCCCTTGATCAAAGATAGTATGCTTAAATTTGAGAAGATTATCTGCAGCTTTTAAGGGATAGATTTCATTATACTGTGCTCTCAATAACAATAATTCTTGATGTACCTTAGGACATAGATTCTGATAGTATTGTGTCTCCAGTGTTTCGTTGGGGGGGCGGGCCCTTTTTTCAACCTTGGATCAACATAGCATAAGCTGTTAGGAGCATGATCTGAAATCAGTATACTATCATAATTACATCCCTTGACTTTAGACACCAAACCTGAAGAGACTGAAAAGTAATCAATTAGGGAGTATGATTTATGTGTATTAAAAAAACACGAGTAGAGTAAAACATTAGGGTTTCTATCTCTCCATACATCCCTCAGATTTAATGTCTGAATAAATTGATGTATTATTTGTCTGCTTTTATTATGGGTCTTATCTAAATGTGACAGTCTTACACTAGACCCTTACTTGGGTCTAGTGTACAGTTGAAATCTCCTGCTATTATGTACTGACCGTTAAGGGATGATAAATTGAAAAATAAATTGCTGAAGAATTCTGGATCATTGTTATTGGGCGCATATATATTAACCAAATTAAGTAATTTTGTCCTAAGTGTGCCTTGAACTATAAGGTATCTACCTGCCTTATCAGCAATCACCTTTATAACATTTAAAAGAATAGATTTGTGGATGAGAGTCAGTCTCTTGCCTGAGTATTAAAGGGGGCTGACCATACCCTTCCTTGTCACCTCCTCCTAATCCTGATGCCTTCACCTAATGGAAGATGGGTTTCCTTCCCATGACCTGCCTCAGCTTCTTTAACTTTTGCAACCCCCTACAATTCCAAGACGTAAACTTTATCTGTAATTCACCGGCCATAGATAATTAAAAGTTATATGACTATTTCACATTTTTAGGCTGTAATGTACTCAAAATTTAAAAAAACGCAACAAAGTCAAACAAGGGGAAAAAATAAAATAAAGCAAAGGGAAACACACACACACACGTGACTCAGTATACAAACAATACAAACTGTAGCTCCAGAACTGAGCAACCCCCCCCCCTCGACTGTTCAACAGTGAAAACCACTCGACACCGAGTGAGGAGTAATTGTGCTGTTCTACTTAACTCTTGGTTAAGCATAATAGAGAGTGTGAGTTAGAAACATTGTCAAAGCGTTTGACATATGAGTAAACCACAAGAAAGTGCATAGCCTTTGTGGTAATTCAAAATCTTATTAGTTACAGCGAACATAAATCACCCGTCATAAATTTGGATTTTGAACAAAAGTCAAGTAAAATATATAAGAGGCTATCGTATTCTGGTTAATTCTGACTTAACAGTGCTTCTTATTAACCAAAACAAAACGCCATAGCACCCGTAACTACAACAGTGGAAATAAAACATTAACAATATAGGCTAATAACAGAATTTAAATTACTCTTCGATTTAACTCTATATTCAATTAGCCTACTAATAACTTATAGCCTCCTATTAGAAACTGTATTCAGGCTTTTTTAACTAGACTACACAAAAGAACTCCTTTTATCACCTGGATAGCCTTGTAAGTCCGTTATCAGAGAAGAAGCCATGACCAAAAGAGCATCTAAGTACAGGTCCCATACTCATCCATTCCCGTTCTCCTCCTGAATTTGCCTGATGAAACTCTAAACTTCTGCCGCTATACAGAAAGTTTGTGTTCTGTCCTTGTAGGTCACCAGCAGCCTGGTAGGATGCCGTCTTATTCCCATATTACGGAGCTTCTGTCTCAGTTGAATTCCTTCTGTTGTTTATGGACTCCTGCCGCCAGGTCCGGGTAGAAGCGTACTGCTTTATCCTTTTAGAGAACTTGTTTTTTTGGCTCTGACTGCTCTTATTACAGCCACCTTGTCCCTATCGTTCAGGTTTATTATTTCATAATCATCGTTCTCGGAGGTGCAGTGGGTTCCCGTCTTTGACCGACGCGGTGGGCTCTTTCCAGCAGAACTTTAGAACTCAGTGTTGTGATGCCCAGTGTCACCGGAATCCAATTCTCGAGAAAAGAGCAGGCGTCATCCCCCTCTGCCCCCTCCGGGAAGTTAACCAACCTCAAGTATGAGCGCCGGGACCTTGCCTTGGGGTCTGTCACTTTGTCTACTAGCTCTGCTTTCTTACCCTCAAGGGTACGGACTTTAGCCTGGAGACTCTCTACCTCATCCTCCGTATTGGAAATTCAGGCCTCTGCATCAGTAACACGCTCCGTGTACTCTCCAATGTCCTTCCTTACCCCATCAATTGCGACCAGTATTCCGTCAAATCTGGCTGAAAAGTCAGTCTTTAAACCTTGAATAGCTTCAAGAATCTCCTTGCTCTTTATTCCCCCTTCCTTATTTTTGTAGCCGCTTCACCTGGCATCACGCTAGCTTTAGCTCTCCCACCCTCCTTAGCCGAGCCGAAGTCTGATATTTTAGACTGCAGACTTTTTGTACGAGTTTTAGCCGACTTTCCTGGAGCAGCTGACAGGATATTTTTCTGCAATGAGTAAGGTCTTTTACCTGCTTTTTGTAAAGTGTCTCGAGATAACAGTTGTGATGATTGACGCTATACAAATAAAGATTGATTGATTGATTGAGTTAACTGAAGGTTAGCTGACACAGCTGACTGACACACAGAGAGGCAAACCTGGCGGACAAATGCAGCACATAATAAACAGGACTCAACAGTCAGTCGTTGAAGAAAATATAAGGAAAGTAAACTCTCAGTGCTCGACCAGCTGGTTGCTGACTCTTAAAAAACGTGCTGTGGAAGCAGGGAAGATGAGACATGTGCCTCTGATGCAAGGCAGGCAAGCTCATGAGAGGCAAGGAACAATGGGAGACCACAGCTTTTAAAGCCTGGGACTCCCTGCTGTTATCCCCAGATCTCCTCCAATGAGGGAATTGAGTGAAGGTTCCCGCTACACTTTACACCTAGTTGTGAGGTGCTGCAGGGCATGCTGGGAATCAGTGTTTTTGCAAGGCCGTTTTTGTTTCCCTCCTAGAGCGCCGTCACACTGGCAATGTTGTCGTACCGTGCTTAAGCACGATTGCCCCTCTCCATTCCCCCTGCTGGCCTGCACGGCCTGCGGTCACACTGCTCCATGACAAGCCTCTTGTACGTAACGTAATACAGCACATGCATGGCTTTATGTTATTAGGAAGCGTGTTTACCAACAGGCGGACACCAGATAAAAATATAAAAAGGGATGTGCAGCCATGTCATCTGCAAATCGGAGAACAACACAGAGAACATGACAGCTACTTCACTGACTTTGTGTCTTATTTTGAGTCATTTTAATCAGATACAGCTATAAATACATGAAAAAAAACAGACACTGGTCAAACGAACTGAACTTTAGGGGAGAAGTGTGCTTAGACACGGTACGGATTGCCAGTGTGATTGCGCCCCTTAAGTACTTAAATCAGGCTCCTCAATGGGGCTGCATGCCTGGCCAACACATGGCTGGTCCCAACAAGCCTTATGACTTGAAAAAACTTAGCATTATAGTGTGGGTTATTTTAAAAGTGTCACAAAATATATTTCCCGTCTAAATCAGTAAACGATAACCTATTCATTCATTCCCACCAAGAAGACACCTATCCCCAGAATCCACCATGCTACCAAAGACTACAAGGTGGTCACCAAAAAGCTAATTTAGCCTGCAAAACCTGCGGGTTGAGACTTACAGGCACAAAGAAGGGTTGCATGCCTCATATGAGAAAGATTTTCTCACGAGGACAGCAGCTGGACCAAACCCACTCAGATCAACCTCTAATTTGAAGGGGGTACGTCTGTTTCCATGAATTTGATTCCTGGATGCACATTTCAAAGTTGACATATTATTTATGAAGTGTGCAGTCACATAGTTTGTAGAATCCCCTGATGTATAACAGCCACAGAGTGCCAGCGAAGTCTGAATCTGTCCTCCAGGAAGGGCATATGTAGAGGTTCCACCGGTGATGGAAGAGGAGAGTCAGTGTTACCTCGGCATAGAGTGTGTTTGTTATAGGCCTGATTACCTTATGGATTTGTTTATTTCCCTGTTCTTGGCGGAACAGCTGTTCCCTGGAGTCATGAGATGCCGGTCCCGATTTGATCTGACTTAACCTACTGACTGACTGAGTACCTGGTGTGTTTTTTGTTTGTTTGTGTTTTGATTGTCGCACCGCGAAGAGAGAAGCTGATTTTCTTTGGAGTTTGTTTACTTATTTGTTTTTGAGGCCCGCGGTAAAACCCAGAGCAGAGTTTTTGTTTTGTAGTTTGAACATTGAACTGAATGGACTGAACTGTGGGTTGTGGGTACACCGGAGCGGACTGAACTTTACTTACAAACACAGACTGTGAAACACGCACATTCATTTTATTTGCAGTGTTGTTGATACATGTGATAATATATTTTATTGAAATCGCATTGCTGTTTTGTTTGATTGTTTTGTGGCTCTTCCTTATGTGATATTTTGTGCAGGTTGACTATTTTTTGTTTGCATTTATTTTTGATTTGTCAGACTTGACTCTGACTTGTCAAACCCGCTACAAGTTGTTAACACCACTCGTGTATGACAGTAAGGAACCACAGACTGGCTTATGTGCGCACAAGCTAGCTCCACTTTCCTATCCAGAGGCTTGTTAAAAACATCTGTTTTCTTTTGCCTAGCTCCGGGGCATCGGCCCCTCTGGGTGATTCACTCTTATATCCATTAATACTTTCAACATGATCGACTAATTCCACCGTGTCATGTTACATCTTCTTTGTGTGTTTTGTTGTGTCTACTTCTTCTTGGTTTGTTGTTTAATAGCGGTTAACAGACAGTTACAAACAGATTTCCTCCACCTGGATTGGGGTGTGAATACTGCTATGTGTGATTGCCTTTTTTTCCTCTACGTATTCATAGATACCTATTTATTAGATTAAAAAACTGGATTTTTATTTGTCTTTTAACAGGTTTGCTCGAATTGAAATCAGCTCATCCAAGCCCATCATTCCATTCAGAGAAACAGTGATTCGACCTCCCAAATTGGACATGGTGAATGAAGAGCTGGGCAAGCAGCAGAAAATAGCCATAATTCATCAGGTGACCACATGATGATAGCATTTAGTTTTTTCTGTTAGAAGCATTTTGTGAAGTGTTAGCAGAAGATAGAACACCGGAGATGATCTCTTACACATGTTCCCTAAAGTGACTTGTTTAGTGATTTTGGTGTTGAATATCTTTGAAAAATTGGTCAGTTAGAAGCAAATCAATGTGTCTGAACATATGTGTTGCTAGGTTAAGGATGATGCCTCTCAGGGTCGTTCGTCTACAACCCTACATGTGGACACCAGTGGTCTCGTCACCCTGACAACTCCGAACAGACTGGCAACTATCAGCATTCGGGCAATTCCCCTACCTGATGGTAAGACCTCAACACAAAACAAGCAGCCTAAGGTTTTAAGTAGGCTTTAAATGAACGAGATTGTGTATTTTGTTAATCCATGTGTGTGCACGGGCCTAAAAGTTACATACTACTAGACCTGAGCCCAGCTGTTGTTTTACCCAAGCAAAGAGACTGAGATACAGTCACTTTTAGAAGTATTTGGACAGAGTAAACATTTTTCCTAAGTTTCTTTCTTTCTATGTAGAGCTATATTGCCAGCAGTAAATCATGAAGACAAAACAACCAATTATTTCCAATTTAATGCTAGCTAAAGTAATTAGTCCAATTAAGATTATATGGAAAAAAGTGGTCATGCTTAAGAGTAATTCTGGAATGCAATGATAACAGAACTTAAAATGCTTAAAGGCAAACCTATTTGACATTTGTTGTTTATTCTGAAATATCCGGCAAAATTCAACAATGGACTGCTTTTTGATTCACTTCCCTTGTCGCCCAGCATTCTTTAGAAATTTTTTTTTAAAAGCCATTCTCTTTCCTGAAATGTATTTGTACCAGCGGCAGGTTCCAAAAGAAAAAGCCACAACGTTACCACCTAAGTATATTTCCACTCATTTATTCAGATAGATATTTTTTATACATGATGTAATAAAAAAAATAATCAAAAAACAGTCATCAAAGAAGAGTCCCCCAACCCCTCCTGCACCCTCAGACCGTGTACCAAACCCCGTGCCGGATCTCCGGCGTGAGGCCGTGAGTGAAAAAAATCTATTAAAAAAATAAATACATGTGGGAATTTGTTGTGGATGAGCTTGATGAAGTTCGGCTCAATAGTAAGTTCGGCTCAATAGTCAATAGTGCTTAGTTTTCAAAGCACTTTGTAAACTCGTGTTTTTAAACATGCTTTAAAAGTATGATTATTATTGACATATGTAAACAAATCAAGCAAAAAAAGGCAGTGACTAACAATAAATAATACACACTCATGTTGTATGTAGGCATACACCTGCATAGTCACCTTTAAACGGAAAGATATTTTAGCTGTGGACTTCCAGGTGAGTCTGAGGACGCGGTCACAGTGGCAAACCGTACCGTGCCCACGTACGCTTTAACCCTAAAGTCCAGTTAGTTTGTCCACTGTGACCGCTCCGTGCCACATTGAATGATGGAATGATGCATCTACGAAAGAGAAAAACTGTTACAAGTCATTTCCACTTTGTAGACGAAGTTCAATCATGCAGCGCAGCAACGTCTTTCAATGCTGTTAAAGCTGCGCATTTCAGTGAATATTTTCTCTAAACGGCTTAATCAACGTTAAAACTTTTTGTCTGTATTACAGACTTCAAACCTTTTTTAAACCACAAATACCTAACCTCGCCTGAAAAATCTCTCTAATGTTTAATAGAGCTGATAATACACAGTATGCTCACAGGAATAAAGTTCACCCTCTATGAAAACATACACAGCTAATGTAGCTAATGCTAGCCATCGTTCGCTCAACTAGTTTTAAAATGGTAAATACGTCGTACATGTCACATTCTGTTATATGTTTGATTTAAGTCTAAAGTTATTTAAACAATCAAAAGGTGAACAAATGCAAGTTCTGGTGCATATAAACTTTAACTGCTGTTTTGGATGATAAAGAATAGTCACCTACCGTTGTCTCCAAGTGTAACTGCTACAAAAAATAATGTGTCGTCCGGTACTGACAGTGGAGGTGTCTCACAGTGGAGGTCTGCAGCTAGACCCCTCTAAACTAAGGCGTGCGTACGTCTTACTAAAGCGCGCGTGCGTCTTAATGAAGCGCACATTGGAGTTATAAGTCACAAGCGCGCTTTTAAAAAAAATTACGTTCATGTCCCCTCCTGGGCTCCATACATTTGATATAAATACAAACCTAATATTAAAATATACCCCAAGATAAGAGTAAAAATAAAAAGTATGTCGATCCCCTGAACCCCCCTGCCAACTCCCAGATACTGCCCAGGTATTGCGTCATTTTGTGGGAAACACTGGACAAGCTAGAGTCCCAGAGTCACACCGGAGTCCCACTGTCTGTGATGCTTTCCCAGTTTTCAGAGTCCTATCTTCAGTTTGTTTACATGGGCGGGACGGCCGCCCAACTCATCCCCTCGCGTATAAAAGTTGTTTAATTGAGGGACTAGAGAAAAGAAGAATAACATACTGTACTCACTGCTTAACTGTGTTTCTAGATCACGCTCATTTCAGGTAAATTTACATGCAGTGTGAAGATATGAGCATAATAAAGATTGCTAGCATTAGCATACTAACACAACAATGCTCTGCGAGTTGTTTTGGTTTCATGCTGGTGCTCAAGGGCGACATCTACTGGATCAAAAAATCACATATAAAACCTTTAAGTAGTTAATCACGATTAATTAAGGTCTGAAATGAATGACACTGCTGCATCTTTACATGACTCTTTTCACTTTAAAAAACTCTAGGAGCTCAGTTGAAGAGTCAAAAGTAAAATCCAATTAAATGATTAATAAGGATTTAAAATTGGATTAGTTTGAGGGTTCTAATTGGAATAAAACTGTTCACAATATATTAAGTATTATTTGTCGAAAAAAGGATTTTCCTACATGATTGTAACTATAATAGGGAGTAAAGCTACAGAGGTGTTCAGTGTTTTATACCTAAATGTCACTTTTCTAAAGCTGTTATTTTTGTTGTTTCTCATGTCAGAAGTGACCTGTCTCTTGGAGAGTAGCACAGAGTTGATTCGGACTCTGGAGCAGGTAAACATCTCACTGAGGGAAGGAAGGAGTATAAACATCAGCCCCAGAACCCTTGAAGCCATCGCTGGACTCAAGGCCCAGCTGGAGAGCATTCTGCAGGGGAGGAAGTGGAGAAACGCTGTAGAGCGTATCTGGTCCTTTGGGCCACGCAGGTCTGACACCAAATGTTGAGGCATGGTCATTGTTCACATGGATGTGTGACTCCAGGATTTATAGAAGAGATATTCAGGGGTGCAAACCTTTCGGCGAAATTCGCCGTTTTGGATCCCAAATATGTCATTTGTGTGATTCATTTAGATCTGCAATAAAAATATTGGGGGGGGTCTATGACGCGAGCTGTCATGCTTCTTGTGGCCGGCGAGCACAGTCCCTGCAAACGTTGAGACGTTTCATACTGACTGCGGTCAGAGCGCTCAACTTTCAAGAAAGTACTTCCGGGCCTGCAGCCAATCATTGCAACGCGTTTGGCGCAAACCCGTCCACTTTGTTACAAAATCTTGGAGATGCACGGCTGGGCGCTCAGCCCCTCCGCAGACCCTCCTCGCGCCTGCCGCTTCATACAGCTTTCTGGTTCATTATTATCTCAGGCAACATTAAAGTGACAGTGTCAACAAATGTAATAAGGTAGGCCAGAGGGAATATAAACTTAAAGAGCCCATGTTATGCCCTTTTTGGGGTTCGTATATTTAATCTATGTACGTACTTTTGTACGTTCACAATAGCTAAAGTCCTAAAAAAGTGTCTGTTTTCATGTACTGCTCCTCCTTGCTCCCTCTACGCTCTAGCCATAGGTAAAGATGTTGAGAGAAATGTGTGCTAGCTTGAAGGTAACTTCATACAGCTTTCTGGTTCATTATTATCTCAGGAAACATTAAAGTGACAGCTGGTCAACACATGTAATAAGAGAGGGAATATAAACTTAATGAAAACCAGCAGGAGCTAAACATCAGGTTCATATATTGATAATGTTACATATTTAATGATAGAGGAGAAAATATTGTCATACTTGATGACTGCATTGTGATGCTCTCTCAGACCCTTCACATCACCCCTTAGTAGAACATGGTAAGCCCTGTTCTGCAAATTCATCCCATTTATAAAAAGGGACTGAAGGTTGGGAGCACGGGTTTTTCATGTTTCACTGAAGCTTTATCAAACAGTTAGAACGGAACATAGATATAGACAAGCAATTGTGTTTTTCTTATTGTTTGCACTGCTTCTTTAGTCGGTCTGAATGCTAAAAACGTCTGTAAATTCACATTTTAAAGCTTGATATTTTAAAAAAATCTGCCCAGGGGAGAATGCCCCGGACCCCTGTAGGGGGTTTGGATCCATGTCACCTTTTTCATCCCTGATGAGTTTGCACCCCTGGACATTAATTAGGAGAGGCAATATATAATCAGTTTGGCATGTCTGACACTGATTATATTAACATTGACCTGATGGATATTAACATTCTGTTGATAATTAGAAAAGAGTAAAGGGACCTCTTCATAGAGAAGCTCTGACTTTATTAACCTGTAATGTAGAACTGCAAAACAATTGGATTAGGCCTTTATTCATGCAGACAAATAATGAATAATTGATTAATTTTGTTTAAATGGCTACCCTTTTTCTATTATAATCTTGAACTCGTGCACGCTCCTACTATCAGTGTCTATTTCTTATAGATGCTTTGGTTGTTCTTTAGATCTGCCCAAAAAAACATTTTGTGCCTTGAAATAAACTTGGTACAAAATGATATTGGTCAACATCATAAGTAAGACTGTTTTGAATAATAGTTGAGAGGCTAATCTTTTGCACCCTGTAGTTGCACTGCCAGTTTTTTCCATGTTGCCGAAGTCCAAGAGCCGCTTGCCATACACTATTATTTGGAACCAACTTTCTTGGCTGTCATTTCTTATTCAGTGGGCAAGTGCCCTAAATCGTTCTGTGATGTTCTGCAAAGCATGTGTTTAGTCTCTCTTGCAATAGGTCCGATGGGAGGTGTAGGGAACAAGGGAAGAAAGTTTAAAGTTCAATTGATCCCAGGAGATATAGTTCCCTCTGACAGGTTCAAAATATCTGCTGAAATTTGTCTGCAAATGTATTTGAAGTTTGAATCTTGTTTTGTTTTTTTCAGATATGGACCCAACATTCTGCTGAACAATGTGGAGGACTATAATCGGCCCTCAGTGTGGCAGTGTCTGGGTAAGGGAGCTGATGATGATATAGGTCAGACAGTTGTTATACGAGACTTTGATAACAGCATCATCAGTGGGTTCCAGCTTGCAACTCTGTCAGGACCCATGTGTGAGGAGCCCCTGATGGGAGTTTGCTTCTCTGTGGAGAGGTGGGACATTCAGTCTTCAGCCTTTCCGCAACATCAGGACTCCTTAGAAGAGGACTCTATATTCCATGAGGCATTAGCAGACAACAAATTGAAAGGAAGCTGCGAGGCATTTGCACCGTCAGAGGGCACATCAGTTGGGCCAAGCCAGGTGCGATGCAGGCCTGAGGCCGCCTCTACGGACTGCTACGGGCCCGTGTCTGGTCAGCTGATCGCTGCCATGAAGGAGGCTTGTCGTCACGCATTCCAGGCTCAGCCTCAGAGACTCATGGCTGCAATGTATACCTGTGAGATTATGGCCACAGCTGAGGTGTTAGGTAAGAATGACACCAAAATACACACACACACACACACACACACACACACACACACGCTGTTTATTCTCTTCTTTTTCCTTCTACCCTTGTAGATAGTTTGTGTCTTCTTTTTTTTACCAGGTTTGGCTGTTTCTCTTTCATTTTTCTAAAACCACATTAATATAATTCTAGGGAAATAAATGTTGTCCATGATGCTCACGGCGTTTATACAGAAGATGTTCAAAAGCAACATGGCTATTCAGTGTTTTCTCAAAGAGTCTTTCGGGTTATTGATTAAACTTTCATACGGGTATTAGCCGGTCTGGCTAATTTAGCAAGAAAGATTTATTAGTTGGGAAATAAGCCATCAGTTGTTCCATCGTATAAAAATATATTTTTTGGGTTGGTAAGATTGCTTTAAGCAAAATGGGACCTCATATTGCCTGGAGCCTCTAAATGCTCAACACACAGTGTTATCTGGGATGGGGTGTTATACTTGCCCTTGTTAATTGTTAAATATGCTGGTGTATTTATGTATTACCACCATCATCATCACACTGATTTACTTTATTTTGTTTGTGTGTGTGTAATAGGGGGGGTCTTTGTATCCTGAAGTCTCATTTCACATCTCATAGCTATTAGGAGGAGTGAGGAATATGAAAAAATGAACACGTTTGTTTTTATGGCAGGATCACGATTTTATCGCTAAGCTTTTTTCATATTGATCATTAAGACCAAAATGCAAGAAACTGACCCCATTTATTTTCCCCAATAAATGTTTAAAAGCACATAAACTGTGCTTAAAAGTTGAATCTATTTCAATGAAGTCTTTTGAGCAAGAAACTGTTGGTCAGTGCATGAAAATGTGTAGGTGTGACCTGTGGTGTATAAGCACTTTAAGTAGTCAGAAAACTAGAAAAGTCCATTTATCATTTCAAGTTGTCCCCAGAGGGATAACCACAGAAATTGCAACATCTGTGAGATAAGAAGAACTAAGAAAGAAGACACTTGCTCAATTTCCACAAAAAAAAAGGGTTTTAGTGATCATTAAAACCATTTTTTGCGGCAATTGAGCAAGATGGAGATGAACTGAATAATAATAATAATAATAATAATAATAATAACTTTATTTATATAGCACCTTTTAAAAACACAGGTTTACAAAGTGCTTTGACAAACAGCAAGCACAAAGCAAACTAAACCAAACACAGAAGAACATGAACAACAGTAAGAATATAACAGATGCAAAATACTAAGAATAATTAAATACAATTCAACAGAAAAGAACCCAAAGTGCACGATACACAACCAGACATATATAACCCGACCATCACAAGAACCATCATAAGAACCCAGGCAACACAAGAACCCAACAACACGAGCTGAGACCAAGAGGATCAGAGATTTAAAAAGATGTAAGAAACTAAGAGATAAAAGCAAATAAAAAGATAACAGCAATAAGAAGGTAAGAGCAGTAAAAGAAATAAAAACAAGTGGTTAAAGGATCAAAAAACCCAAAACTATAATATTAATACAAATAAAAAGTAAATATAAATATGAAACATAAATAGACTAAGTAAGATAAGAAATTACCAAGTTAAAACACAAGAGGAGATTAAGATATGAGCATAAATATGAGATAAGACCATAAATAAAAGGACAGTAAGAAGTAAAAGAAGATAAAAATAGTAAAACCAGTAAGAGAAGACATTAAGAAGATGACATCACATAAAAGCAAGTCTGTAAAAGTATGTTTTAAGAAAGGCTTTAAAAGAATTTAGGGAATCTGCAAGTCTTATCTCCTCAGGGAGGTTGTTGCAAAGTCGAGGGGCCCTGACTGGAAAGGCCCGGTCACCTTCAGTTTTAAGTCTCGACTTCGGAACGACCAGGAGGCCCCCACCTGAGGATCTAAGACTGCGGGCTGGCTCATATGGTGTCAGTAGCTCTGTTATATAGCTTGGAGCCAGCCCCGTCCGTGCTTTAAAAGTAATGAGTAAAATCGATTCTAAAACGTACAGGAAGCCAGTGTAATGAAGCTCAAATTGGAGTGATGTGATGTCGTCTGTTACAACCAGTAAGAAGCCTAGCTGCTGCATTTTGGACTAGCTGGAGGCGAGACCGTGACTTATTTGTGATTCCGGAAAAGAGGTAGTTACAGTAGTCAAGTCGGGAGAAAATTAGGGCGTGGATGATCTTTTCAAGGTCTAGTTGGGTTAGAATTGTTTTATTTTTGGAGATGGTGCATAGATGGAAGAAGCTTGATCGGACAACTGTTTTGATATGGGATTCAAAGGTGAGATTGCAATCGAATGTTATTCCTAGATTTCTGGCGGTGGGTTGGACATTGGCGAATAAGGGACTGAGGCTGCTCTTTGAGATATGAGTGGTGTTTGGCGGGTTGAATACTATGATTTCAGATTTAGAATTGTTCAGTTGGAGAAAGTTTTGTGCCATCCAGCAGTTGATATCGTTTAGGCAGTTTCTGACAGCAGCTAGGGTCCTCAGGTCTCAAAGGAAGGTATATCTGTGTGTCGTCTGCGTAGCAGTGAAAGGAGACATTGTGGCGTTCAATTATTTGGCCAAGGGGCAGCATATAAATGGAGAATAAAATGGGACCTAAAACCGAACCTTGCGGTACACCACAGGTAATGTTAGAGGTAGAGGAGGAGTAGTTACCGATGGTGACCGCGAAGGTTCTTTCTAAAAGATAAGAGTAAAACCAGCTAAGCGCAGTATCCTTTAAACCAACCCAATGTCTGAGACGATCAGTTAAAATTGTGTGATCAACAGTATCAAAAGCTGCGCTAAGATCTAAAAGAATTAAAATTGTGCCCTCCCCTCTATCTGTTGCTAAAAGAAGGTCATTGGTTACCTTGAGGAGTGCAGTCTCTGTGCTGTGACAAGCTCTAAAACCGGATTGGAATTTCTCAAAGAGGTTATTTTCAGTCATAAAAGATAAAAGTTGTGTTGAAACCACCTTTTCTAAAACTTTTGATAAAAAGGGAAGTTTTGAGATTGGTCTAAAATTGTTAAAATCAGTGGGATCAAGGTTGGGTTTCTTTAAAAGTGGTTGGACCACAGCATGTTTAAAAGCAGAGGGGACTACACCTTCCGCCAAGGAACTATTAATAATGGGTAAAAAAAAAATACTGGGTCCAACTGTGTTGAAAACCTCTTTGAGAAATGTTGTGGGAATAAAATCAAGGCTGCATGTAGCTGATTTCATATGGGTTAAAATTTCAGATATAAAGGTCAAGGACACCGGCTCAAAACTGCTAAAATAACTGTTAAGTTCCCTGCTGGTGTCTAAAATACGGTCTGGGGGGATGATTTGTTGTCTAATGTCCTTGACTTTATTAATAAAATAAGTTAAAAACTTCTCACATAGATCCTGAGAAGGATTAGTAAAATAAGAAGGGGAGGGGGTGGTGATTGATTCTAAAACCTTAAATAAAATTCTGGGGTTAGAATGATTGACTAAAATCAGATTAGAATAAAATGCTGCTCTTGCGTCTTTAATTGCCTTTTGATATTGTTTCATTGAATCTCTCCATATTTCATAAAATACATGCAAGCCTGTTTTTTTCCATTTTCGTTCTTTCCTTCTGCAGTCTCTTTTTAGATCCTGAGTCAGTTCGTTTAGCCATGGCTGTGGAACTCTGTTAGTTTTTTTGTCTTTATAGGGAGCAACAGAGTCCAGCACAGTTTGACAGGTGAGATTAAAAGAGGAGACCAGCTCCTCTGTGTTAAAATTTTGGTAAAAGGCAGTTGAAGAGACAGAAATAAAAAGCTCCTTAAACTTGCTAGCAGACGTAGAGTTAAAAACCCTGCTGCGGACAGGTGCCTTGCTAATAAAAGGTGGCTGAGGTAGAACCATTCTGAATAAAACCAGTTTGTGGTCTGACACACAGATATCCTTTGTCTCAAAGTTGTTAGGGCAGAGACCACTGTATAAAACAAGATCAAGTGTGTGGCCCTTAGAGTGAGTGGGTTCCTGTATTGCCTGAGTAAGGTTAAAAGATTCTAGAATATCCATAAAATCACCCGCGAGGGACTGAGAGGGGCAACAGACATGTATGTTAAAATCACCTAAAACAAGGATTTTATCATACTTAGAAATAAAATGTGATAAAAACTCTGAAAACTCTGCAACAAAAACATTGTTAGGTCTGGGTGGTCTGTAGATGATTAAAATTAGCACAGGATCTTTTAAGTTAACAATAAAACCAAGGTGCTCAAATGATGTAAAATGAGTGTGTATAATTGGAGAGCATTTAAAATCTTTTCTATGAATAACAGCAACCCCCCTTCCCCGGCCTGACAGCCTGAGCTGATGAAGGTGAGTGAAATCAGGGGGGTTTGCTTCAATCAGAGGACTGCAATCTCCCATAGTCAACCAGGTCTCAGTGACAATAAAAAAGTCCAGATTATTATGATTTATAAAATCAAGGCAGATAAAAGATTTATTATTAAGGGATCTGATATTTAAAAGACCAAAGTTAGCTGAAGTGCAATTAAAGGTTGGTTGTGAGAGAGGTTGGAGGCGTACTTGGGTGAGATTGGAGTGGTTACAGTAATTGACAGGTGGCAGATGTTGATGAGACAGTCTGCAGGTGACGTGTACAGGGATAGTGAATTCAGTGCTGTGGTCTGTGACAGTAGAGAGTGTATGACAGTTATTGGAGGACAGAGAAGAAGGAGAAAAAGAGTGACACCAGGTGTGAGGAGTAGGGGAGGGGCTTGCTGTGAGTAGATTGTTCTGAGGTGAAACAGGTGAGAGGGGATTGGATGTGGGTGTGTGCTCAGATAGATGTCATACAGGTGTTGAGGACTGGACAGTGTGCTGGATATTAGCGGACAACATTTGACTGCCCAACGGATTTGGATGAATCCCGTCGCTTTTAAAAAGTGTGGCATGGTTCCAGAACAGGTTAAAATTGTCAGTAAAATCTAGGTTGTGTGATTTGCAAGCGTGCTGGAGCCAGGTGTGCAGGGAGAGGATACGGCTAAAACGCTCAGGA